CACGCCCGGCCAGGTGGGATGGAAGCTGCAGCCAAGCAGTATTTGCTCCAGTGCATGGGGCTTCAGCTTCCAGCCACCTTCCATGTACTCTGCCCACCTGGCACAATGAGCAGCCACTTGCAGGCAGCTGAGTGGGTGGAAAGCATCTCCACCAGGAAGCTATGCACACTGGCTGGGGTTGAGCCAGTGCCACAGGTGGATGCAGGCAGTAGATTGGTACAGTCTGCTCCAGGCGGGGTTCTGCCCTGTAATGAGCGCTATGGGGACACCTACGAGCCAGATGCAATCAATTGGCAGGCTGAATCTGGCCTGTGGGCTGTATTTTGCCCACACCTTTTGTCCATGCTCTCTCTCACAGCTGAGCAAGGCATTGGAGGAAGATGCACAAAACACCAGATTGGTCTTTTCTGTCCCCTGGTCCCCACAAAAAAAGATGCATATAGAGAATACTGCTAGGCATATTTATGAAATAAATAAATGTAAATGTTATATTTCAGTTAGCAACAAATATATATAGTATTAGAGAACGAGCGGTACACTAAGGTACTTATGTACATTTTTGCCTGTAGTTATCTCACTAAAGTAGGGAAAAAAATAAAAAGTTAAGAACAGAAACCATCAAAATTGTAAGCTTGTAAGCAAGAAAGTTAAATCATAACAAGAGTTCTGAAACAGTATCTAAACAGACCTGTTTTTAGAAAAAAATTGGTAAATGGCATACATATTGATTATAATATGCGATTGATACAGACCCTGGCCATTCTCTAATATAACTTAAACAGTTTAGTGACCAATATAGCATGGGAAATACTAACTGGATTTGAGTTTTCCCTTGTAGTCCCAATAATCTTAACCCATGTATGAAAAATGCATAGTATGCAATTCAGAACTTTCACTATGACCTCAGGAAATTAACTGAACTGAAGATTTGTATGAATTGAAAGAACTGGAAAGCTTGTTGCACGTTAGCTTCTTTGTTTATTTTGTACAAATATTTCCAAACATTGATTAGTTCCTTTAGCATCTAACAGAAGATGGAGGAAACCAGCAGATAAGGGCCTTGCAAATTCCCTGAAGAGGTTCTGATTTTGCAGCATTTGAAAAAGTTTTCCAACTGGCTCCAAGCATGTTCCCCGAGGGCAGGGGGCTCCTGGTGGCAGTGGCAGCAGCAGCTAACTAGCCTCTCTGCCCCACTTTCCTGTCCTGGGACTGACCCGCTGGAATGCAGAGGTGGCCAGGCTGCAACCCCATGCCCCGCTGTAGGGGCACAAATCTGGGGGGCATGTGCCCCCCCAGTGTCACCTCTGGCATCCGACCCCTCTTTTGGAGTGTGTGCAGTGACAGAGAGCCAGCCCCCCTGCCACCCCTCCAGGTGAGCCACCACCTGTGGCTCTGTCCTGCTCCCCCAGCCAGGCTCCACAGCCACAGTTTTCCACCCTGGTGCCAGGCCTGGCTGGGCATTGCCCTCAGCCCCAGCCACCAACCCTACCCTGCTCCCTCCCTCACCATGG